TTGATATCTTACAATTATTGATGGATCACTTAATATGATATAAATTGATAGAGAAGACCTTTCTGCACGACATCCTTCTTACTCGTTATTGCTATCATAAGATAAACATATAAACATTATATTGCAGGAAAAAGTTTTTTTGTTTTCTTTTATATTTTGACTATTTGAAATTAAAATATATGTTTATGCTAGCAAAGGTATCTTTTCAAGATGTAAATAAAATATTATATGTGTAGACATACGAGTATATGTGCCTACTGCAGCTTTACGTGTCTCGTATATACAAGTATGTTTAGCCATACATATACTTCGAATAGAACACCTCCAACTTGATTTAAACAAATGATTCATGCCTGTGATCGTGTTTTTTTTTTCAATCGCATCATGCACAAGCCACGGCGTTATTTAATGCGACATCTCTAGCAGAAAAATAATTTTTACGAGATACAAAAACTACATAGATTGAGATAAGATCTTAGAAATTCTTAATTTTTTAATGATATTTATAGTGGGACATAGAATGAGATTTATTTGTCTCAGAAATTCTCAGTTTTTCGTAAATATTCGTAATGAGACGTAGAATGGCGTTGTTTGAGGGCGGAAAATTTCTTGGTTTTTCAAACAAACAACGCTACTCTACGTTCCATTATGAATATCTACGAAAAACTAAAAATTTCTAAATTCTTATCTCAATCTACGTAGTTTTTCGTAAAAACTTTCTGCCTGGAATTTTCTGCATAATGTAAGTATTGCATTTTAAATGCGTCAAAGCATTGATAATATTAATTGATCTTTTGAAAAATTAAGGTCAAGTTTACTAAATCTCAATAATAGAACGATACAGCAAGGCTTTCAGTTTTCAGACGAGTAATATGAATAGTACGAGAATAGTAGGAGTTTAGAGAAGATGACCTAAGAGGATTGTGACGTGCGGCGGCAAAAGAATTCTAATACTTACAGAAATTTTCTTGCTGTCGCCGTTTCTCCTAGATTAGCCCCTCTAAACTCCAACTACTCGTGATATTCATATTACTCGTCTGAAAATTGAGAATCTTAAAATACATTAAGGCTTGTTGAACCATATTCTCTTGCAAATATCGATAATATAGCATGGTTATTCTAACCATGCTTTCTTGCAGATATCAATTAAATAGTATGGCTATTCCAACCATACTATCTTTTGAGTGACTGTATTATATAGTACGTATAGTGGGATTATACTGTACATGCCCAGTTAGTAATACAGTACAATTACGCTATTATGATAATTTATATAAATTAGAAAAATTTGAGAGTCTGAAATTTGAGAAGCTGATGGATATGCTACCATTATGAAAGTTGAGTTATTCATAATTGTATAATTGCAATATTAGTATGGTAATAATGGCTAGATTAATAATATGACACACACATAATATGACTGAATTATATTTATGGCTAATATTTCTAATTTTTCTCTCCGTGCGTTCAATAAGTTCGGAGATTTATATCAATTTGCAATATCCCGACAATTTGGTCACTCCAGCATCTCTTTAATATAATAATTTTTAATAGAATAATTTTAAAAATAATATTAAAAATATTAATTTAATAAATTTGTTTAAAAATTCTTTAAAATAATGTAATTTTTCTATATGTGTATATATGTATATATATTTTAAACGCTTCAACTTTGAAGTAGAATATTTCGATTTTCAATCCCGTTTCGAGTTTTAAAGCACACATGTAGGACACTAAAACAAATTTATTCTGTAAGTTTCAAAAAAATCTAAAGAAAATGGATTTGTTCAGAGAATGTCCTTAATACCACACACTTAGCTAATAGTACACACTCAGCTAACTTGGGACTTAGAAAAATTAGGATTTGACAGAGCAAATATTAACAATTGTGTACACAAAGAAAAATCGAACTTTACCATATGGATTTGAAGCTTTATTATCACAAAGTTTTTACCTTTACCTCACAAATCGCATTAGTAGTAACAGACTTGGCAATGCCGCAGTGCATAGTTGATACGAGGCCAACTTCGTATAACCTAGATCCATGTCGGCATAAAGAAACAGATATGAAAATAATACAAAATCGGCCTTTATACCGATTCTAAATTTCTCCCTTATCATTCGTCATAGCTGATCACTGCCCGACACATCGCAAAGTGCAACGCAGTGCAACGTTGCGATGTGTCGAAATATACACTGGACTTCCCAAGTCATTGACAATATATTTGTTAATATTCTATACACTAATAGTTTACTAAGAATATAGCACGTTTAATAGTATCCACAATTCATTACATTAATATTGCATATGATACGGAATCGCTGTAATGACAATTTATTTCAAGTCGCATTTTTTATTCCGAAGTACTAGTCCAATTTCAATTGAGACTGATGCGGGTTGATGTTACAAACAGTATAAAAATAAAGCAAGACAGACAATCCACAGTAGCATAGCTATTACTTTCATATAGTTCGATTGCCCTCGCTCAGTGCATTTACCGCTTGCGCATTAACCTATGGACTTTTGGAGTTCGAGTCCTAAGACCCGACTGCACCAACGTTATTTTGATTCTAAGCGAAGATTAAAACTCTCTTTCTTTCTTTCGGTTTTAAAAAAAGAAACTGAGAATTTTAAGTCTCGCTTAAAGTTAAAGTACGTTGGTGCAACCGGGCTTCAGACACCGAAGTGCCAGGAGCATCTAGAAATCTTCTAATGTAGATAGCTCCTTCGATTATAGATTATAGATTATAGATAAGTTTAATTTTCGCGCCTCATCGCTGGCGGCGCTCCGATCACCCGCCATTACCACACACGATTGGCCCGTCGACAATACCCTTTCGGGATTGGTTGACTTGTGATAGTAGGGCAGAAGGAGCGAGATCCTGAGCGATTCCTTTGTACAGGATATAGTCCGTTATAAGACTCTGAATAAAGTGTTTGTGCCTCACATAGTGAATATCATATATCACGACTAGTGAATGATATGCCCTTCCAAGGAGTTTCCTAGATTATCCCTCCTCTGGATTAATCCTGACAATATTCCTACCCTTTTGAAACATTCCGATTTCAAAAGTTATACACGTGATCGTATCGCTTATACTAATTCTCTAAGTGCATCTGCGGACGCCATAATTTAAAAAAATGAAAAGAATTAAATTATTTAAACAAGCGCATTTATAATTTTGCGATTTTGTAAAATATCATTGAATAGTCGATTAATAGCAACTGTAATGTGATATTAATACGTGTGTATTTGATGTGTGCATTTTTCTTATAATAATTTAGTTTCTTCCAGCCCTAACGTCAATTTTTCATAATTGTATAACGTTAGGATTGGAAAAATCGCTTTTTAAAAAATAAAATACAATAACTAATAAAAAAATGGATGATTGAAAGTAACAAATATGCGGTAATTTGTGCGCTTTGACAAAAATATATTTCACTTCTTATAACAATTAAATCGACGTTATCATTAGCTCCATTCAAACCATCTTCAGCAATGTTGAAGTAATACGTGTGATATTCTTGGTACAGTGACTGGTTGCAATGTAATGTAATTAATCACAGAGTGCAAAAAGGAGAGTCTCTCACATTAGCAAATTTTGAGAGTGTAACTATCAAATAGTTGTAAGACTAAGTGAGTGTATTTAAAAAATAAGTTGTTACTATTACTTTTCAAAAGTAATTTTTTGAATCCTGGCACAGAGGAGAAATTGATAAGCTTTTATTTTCGGCCTTGTACACATTTTATGTATAATATAAAAATATACATAAATAATGATAATAAGTATGAATAATAACAAAATTAAAAACGAGTTTTATGAAACATGAGTTTTTAGAAATATAAGTTTTACATTAATGCAATACGCGAAGCGCTACTTACGCTAACTTATTCACGGTTAAATGTTAAATTAGATATTAAGTTAATACATACATATATATATATATATA